CCCCCCCCGAGTGCAGCACAAACAAACACACCCACGAACTTCAGACCAATCACACATTACCGTCGACACGGGATGGGGGGTCAAAAAGTTCTGCTGACGGGTTGTGCCAAAAGGGGCTGTCGACACGACGCTGAGAAGCCCGGTGACGAAATTTTTGTCATTAAACTGCGACAACCCATGCTGACATCAGCAGTTTGCAGCATGTTTCAGGCTTTATTGTAAAGTGGTACCAAAAATCTTGCACAGTAAATTCTCCTCACCAATTTTTCCTACATTTTACTGAACATAGAAAAAATATTTTCAAACACACATGTGAGAAAATCCATCCATCATTTGTCAGCTGAAATACTTTTTTGCAGGATTGTTCATATTTTAAGAAGAGAAGAAGAATTCTGTAAACATGATTCATTCTGGACTTTACTATTTGACTCATTAGCACAACTAGTGTTTGAACGTGGAACTGCATCCACCATCATCACTCCCAGGTAAAGGACAGGTGAGTGACAGGACAGGGGCACTTCAGGGGGCCAATCAGCTTTCGGCTGGGGCCAATGTCCCTGTGGCCCCGCCCCTAGAACCGCCCCTGGCGTAGCGCAAAGCAACAACTGAGCTTCAGACAGAGTGAAGATAAGGGAAAAATGAAAACTTAAACTTTGTTTCTATCAGATGTTGTTTGGGCGTATGTGAGAAAAGAAAATAAGTCTGGGTCGGTTTCACTTCTGAACCATTTATTTTGTAAGTAAAATAAAACAATACAGCTCTTCGTCTAACAAACTCTAAATCAATGGTTGATCAATGACTATTGATTAAATGGAAAACATAATTAAATGAAATCTAAACTAAATGATTCTTTTTGTTATGTAAATCATAAACATTAATTAGTGAGAAAATTAAACAGAACAAGATTACACAAACATAATTGAACAAAAATAAAAAAACAAATTTTAAGCATGTAATAAACATTTTAAACTTATGAAATGGACTTTAAGCAAAACATTAAATGTTACAAGTTTTATTTTATAAAACCACAAGGAATTAGCAGATGCAAAGGATAGGAGTCTTTGGCAAACTTGCAAGCTAGCAGAACTAATAAACAGGTAGACAACACAACACATAAAATTAAAATAGATGAAGTAGGCTTTAAAATCACCAGACACAGATGTAAGCCAATCCCAAATGAAGTCATCAACCAGAATATTTTCTTGGGCTTGTAAGTTTGATATTTACTGGACTATAGAGACCAGGCTATTGGTGGTGGCAGATGGAGGTCTGTAACAGGTGATGACAGTCGAAAACTGAGCATCTGACAGATCTATCTTAAAAACCAAATGTTCAAACTGTTTAGGGACTGAGTCAGAGATAAGAGTGTGTGCTTTGAGGCAAGATTTAACAAACATTGCTACACAAACTGTTTCCTGGGGTCGTCTGATCTATAGATCTATCTATAGATGTTTTAGCCTTTTATTGACACATCCATCTTTATCTTGAATGGATTTATTAAACCAAGTTTCAGAGATGAGTCAGCTTTTGTGAAGTTAACCCAGATCCACATCAAATCTATTTATTGTAGTAGACTCCTGTACAGTATTTATGTGTATAATGTGCAAGCCAGATATACAGGTGCTGGTCATAAAATTAGAATATCATGAAAAAGTAGATTTATTTCAGTAATTCCATTTAAAAAGTGAAACTTGTATATTATATTCATTCATTACATACAAACTCATATATTTCAAATGTTTATTT